CCTGAAATGAAAACAATAGTATAAGCTAGGCCCTACATAACATAAAACTTCATAGAAATTTGTGGAAAAATATAAAACTTACAATTTGGGTATATACAATAAAGTTACTTACCCTTCTGTATTTAAAGGAAATCGAAAGAATGCTTTTGAACAATTTTCACAGTGGCATTGCAACAACCATACACAGCACAGACCCCACCAGACATGCTGTTTTACGACTTTTTCTCTTCAAAAAGCCAAAGCAAAAGTTGCAAAAATTTCAAATCAAATATGACATTTGATTGTGAACACACCCTACCGCACGGTGGGGCTACAGTCACTTGCGACAGGTTGTCAACGTGAGTTTCCTGTATTATTATATTAAAGTATTTGATGACAGTTATCATTTTACATTTGTGTGCGTTTTTATTTGTTGAATTGTTCGTGTTTATTTAATATGTGCTAATAAAAACAATAATAGACTTTTGGTATTTCCGTAAGTCATCAAGGTAACGTGCTTTCTTCGGCCAGCATCAATTTTTCAACACAACAGTTTTGGCGACGGAGTAAACCTTTATACTTTTCTTTTCGGAAATCGTGTGCAAATGAAAGAGCGTTTTTATTGCATTTAAACGTATGTGCGTCCGTAATTGAATTGAGTGAATAGTCCATTAATTCACCATGTCGTTATCTGTCGAGCAATTTGAGCATTTATTATCAATTATCGCGCCGAAATTAACGCCAGCCGGGACGAGTGTTCAACCACGGCAGCCATCTTTAAATATTCCTCCTTTCGAACTATTCGACGAGAAAAGGGAAGACTTTCGGGTATACCACGAGCGTTTTGAAAATTATCTTAGACTGAGGGAAATTTACGGGAACAAAGAAAAATCTAAACAAGTTCTCCTTGGATCTATTGGAGCTGTTTACTATGGGGTCCTTAAGGCATTAGTCGCTCCTCAACAACCATCTGACCTGTCTTATGATGAGTTAGCTTAGAAAAACATTTATCGCCGGAGAAGAATATGCTAGTGTCGCAGCATTTTTTTCTATTGACCGTGCAAGGGGCAAATCAAACAATTGCCGAATACGTAGCAGATCTACGGAAAGGTCTCGAATCCTGCCAGTTTAGAATGAAGTGCGAATGCGATAAAGAAATCTGCGTAGCTGATTTATTTTTAAGAGCACAATTTATAAGAGGGATAAGGGATACTTGGATTACAGAGCAATTACTACAATCTAAGCATACCGAATTCGCCGATATTGTCCAAAAAGCCATCGCGCTTGAGGCAGCCAGAGCAGATAGCCGCAGCGTCAAGGCCAACGCACCTCCTTCATCGAGTGTATCCAATTCAGCAGCAAACAACTCCATCAATGCAATGGCACAGGTGCCGACATCGAAATCAAATCGAGCCAAGAGCAGACCGAGGCATCGAAACGATCATGAATCTCGAGACTTTTCGACCAATCGCAGTAATAAATCGAGTGGAAATACTGCGCGTAAGTATTCATGTACCCGAGTAAATTATCATGAACTAGGCCTAGATGGTCTATGCCTGCGTTGTGGGCGAGACAATCATATCGCGAAAGACTGCCGCAGTGATCCGAGTAGTGTGTCTTGTACCAAGTGCGATAAGACAGGACACGTCGCGAGAGTGTGCATTAAGTCGCGCCTACAGCAACGTGGTAAAGGCGTCGTAGAGAATCAAATCAACTCCGTCGAAATGAATGAGATGCCGTCGACGTCAAAGAACAATTCAAGTGAAGAAACTTCTAGTGTTTCAAACGTGTATTCCTCGGAAAATAACGCGTCGCGAAAGTACTATACGTATGTGAACATTGAAGGTAAGAGCGTTCAGTTTGAAGTAGACTCAGGTTCAGCATTTACATTGATACCAGAAAATCTATTTAAATTGTTAAAGTGTAGTCGGAAACCGGTACCAGTTGATCTAACATTCCGTACGTATACCAAACAAACGTTCAAACCACATGGTAAGGTACGAGTCAGTGTTCAGTACCGCCTCAAAGATAATCCATCTTATTTGGATTTATACGTGGTACCGCCGGGATACGACCCATTACTCGGAAGAGAATGGATTCGTCACCTAGGCATTGAATTACAAGAGGTTGACGAAACAGCGGTAAATCAAGAGTGCGTCAGTAATAGGGCTATTCAAATCAATTTAGTCGATGACATACGAGCAAAATATTCTTCAATATTCGAACAGAAAATTGGTTGTATACCAAACGTGTAATCAAACTTGCGTTGCGCGAAAATGTAAAACCCGTGTACGTACGCGAACGAAGTATACCGTATGCGTTGCGCGACGACGTCAATCGAGAACTAGAACTCCTGGAATCAGCCGAAATCATCTCTAAGTGCGAAAAGAGTGACTGGGGTTCACCGTTGGTGATAGTTCGTAAACCTCAAGGTGGTGTGCGTCTATGCGTGGACTACAAGGTAGCCGTTAACAATAATCTAATTAATGTAAACTATCCTATCAAGCGGATTGAAGAGTTACTCAATAGCTTACGCAAATCACGTTTCTTCTGTCGATTAGATCTATTCAAAGCTTACTTGCATCTTCGAGTTGATGAGCAGAGCAGCCTCATCCAGGCAATATCAACACATCAAGGTACGTACCGTGTAAATCGCTTAAGCCTGGGAACCAAACCTGCACCAGCAGAATTTAATCGTGTTATGGATCAAATATTACGAGGGTTGCGAGGAACAATTTCGTACTTTGACGATATAATCGTCCATGGTCAAACAAAAGAGGAGTGTTATGAGAACCTAGTGCAGTGTCTCGACCGTCTCTAAGCTAATGACCTCCACCTCAACGAGTCTAAATGTATCTTCTTCCAAGAGCAAGTTGAATACCTGGGGTACGTCGTAAGTGGAAATACAATAGCTAAGTCGCCTAAAAAGGTAAGCGCAATAATCGATATGCCTCGACCGCGTAATGCCAATGATGTTCGCCGATTTTTAGGCATGCTAACGTATTATTCAAGGTTGTTACCGAACCTATCGAGTGTTACCGCACCTCTACGTAAATTATTGCAAAACAATCGTAAATTCGAGTGGTGCCGAAAATGTCAAACCGCATTTGAAACATTTAAACAGGAAATCGCGAGTGATCGCGTAATCGTTCCGTATGACCCAGAGTGTGAAGTTATCTTAGCAACTGATGCGAGTCCTGTTGGCTTAGGGGCCGTATTATCACACATATTTCCGGATGGTGAAAGACCAATAGCTTTTGCGTCTCGTGCATTAACGAAGGCGGAACAGAATTATTCGCAGATCGACATAATATTTGGCGTTAGTCATTTCCAACAATACTTAACCGGTAGACATTTTTCTCTTGTCACTGATAATCAACCACTAGTGCGTATCTTCAAGCCAACAGCAAAGGTTTCAAAAACTACTTCAGCTCGTCTCATACGTTATGCGTCCTTTTTGTCAACGTACGATTTCAAAGTTCAATTTAAGAAGGGTATTGAGAACACGAATACTGATGATTGTTTATCTCGTGCACCAGTTTCAAATAATAAACCACGGATCGAATCAGACATCGACAACGAAATTCGACAAATCCATTACGAACAAGTATTCCACATATCTACAAATCAAGTAACGTATGATAGCATTCAAATCGAAACATTAAACGACCTCGAATTACTAACGATTATCGAAGGGTTATCGCAGTCCTGTGCAGAATCACCGTATACATTAGACGATCACGTCTTATATCGAGGTAATCGCATTGTAATTCCTAAAACGCTTCAAAAGGAAATCTACATTCAACTCATGTGGGAGTCACTAAAATGAAGCAATTAGCTCGTCGTTATTGCTACTGGTCAGGCATTGACAAAAATGTCGAGGATTTAGTCCGCAACTGTGAAGAATGTAGAGCGCGTACTCATTCTCCAGTAAAAGCAGAGGTTCATCGGTGGGAACTTCCGAATCAAAATTGGGACCGGATACATATAGACATATATTATACTATTATATAGATTACGCGGGACCAATTTATAACCATCATTTTCTATGTAGTGGCCATAGACGCTAAATCAAAATGGGCAGACGTTGAAATATTAAGGGAGAGCCCTACTTCTTCGAATACAATCAAGTTACTTAATCGAATATTTAGCCGAAATGGTTATCCGCGAGAAATAGTATCAGATAATGCAACTATATTTACGAGTGCTGAATTTGCAGACTATACAAAAACTAACGGAATCTTTCAAAAATTCATTGCGCCAGGACATCCAGCGACCAACGGATTGGCTGAAAGGAACGTCCAGACATTGAAAAATCGTTTAAAAACTATGGGAAAGGATAATGCACCCATGGATATCAAAATTCAACGTATTCTGTTCAGATATCGAGCGTTACCACTGATAGATGGTCAGTCTCCAGCGGAAAATTATTTAAATCGGAAACTACGTATCAGTTAGACGCTATGTTCAAGCCAGAACTTACTACAAACAAGACCGTACAGTTGAAGTTCCGTTCTTTTCAAGCGGGGGAGAAAGTACTCGCAGAAGTATATCAGGGGAACAATAGAGTGTGGAAACCTGGTAAAGTGGTGAAGAAATTAGGTAAGCTCCACTACATCGTCGTTTTGGATGAAGGCCGACCGTTGAAACGTCACATCAACCAGTTACACAGAGGAGATTCGAAACGAGTTTCATTTGCTGATCAACCGGAGGAAGCCGAAAATCATCCTGAGTTAGAACCTCAACGAAATCAGAGTCAATACCAAGAGGAACTCGATTTTCAGTTTCCATCGCACAAACCACTTGACATTAATCCAGAACTCCCAGAAGCAGAAGTAGCCGCTCCAGAAGAAGAAGTACCACCTTCTCCAATACTGCGTCGTTCAGCTCGAGAGCATAGACCTCCAGCCTACCTCCAGGATTATGTTATTTAAGCGGGGGAGAATGTAGTGAAAATCGAGAGGTATATAAAAAAAATCAATTGTCAGAGTGCAATTAGAAATGACAGTTATCATTTTACATTTGTGTGCGTTTTTATTTGTTGAATTGTTCGTGTTTATTTAATATGTGCTAATAAAAACAATAATAGACTTTTGGTATTTCCGTAAGTCATCAAGGTAACGTGCTTTCTTCGGCCAGCATCAATTTTTCAACACAACATATGGGATGAATTGGCCATGATACTGGACAAACCTGGTGAAGGTAAGTGTATTTGTTTATAGTTTTAGTACATTGTTAGGCATTAAAAAAAGAAACAAATCTATCCCGTACAATGCCATATTTCAATCAATTGGTAGTGTCCGTAAAAAAACATCTAATCTCGCGGATTGAACGCCCTAGTGTGCGGCCACACGTTCGCCACCGCTACCGCTACCGCCACCGCGTCCGCTACCGCGACCGCGACCGCGTAGGTTTGCGTATACCTTAAAGGTAATCAAAACTTATGACTATTACTTCTCGGATAAGACCAAGTAATCAACACATAAACATAAATTAAGCAAACATTACACCAAAAACGTAAACAATTACAAACAAAAGAATAACGGTATCAAACATGTGATTCTGCATTGCGGTTAAACGGTATATACTGAACTAAAATATGACATCTCAGACTGTGATTGATCTCGAATCTCAACTTTACCACTTTACGCTTGCATTCCCCGAATGAGGAAAAAGCCACCCACACAAAACACGGAATCTCACGAAAATAGGTACTTGCTGCTTTTATCTATGTCGCATCGGAATTTGAAAACGTTTACTCACTACTCGTTATATATAGGTAATAATATTGACTATGCACTAATCAATGGTAATAATATAGGCTTCTTTGCATATGGTCAGGTACAAACATTTAGTAGATATTCAATTTTTAATGCGCGACCCTATACAATATAAAGTTCGACATATTTATTTAAGAAATAACCCCCAATTTGCATTTTACAGAGAATGGAAGTTTACATAACGAGCTGAAATGAAATCAAGTGGTTAGATTGCATTTTGTAAGATATTTACAGAATAGTAGGTAGGTACCTACAAATGTTAAATATTTCTACATAATTGGACGCAAAGTTTTCGTTTCTATAGCCGATTTTGCATTATCTATGCGAGTGAATTCAAAGACCGGCACGGTGCTTTTAATACATTATCGTGCACTCAAACGAGCTTTTAATGGAGAACATACATTTTTCATTTCCTAGTTTCTTTGGTGGTGAACTGAATATCATAGTGTACATGCAAATAGAGTACGACCGAGCTGACAATTGACAGATCCTTATTGTACTTGTCGGAGGAGGGGGGCGCTAATGTAAAAATCGTCCCCTGAAGGGGTTGATGTGGCAGTGGCGGTATTGAAATCTGAATATACGAGATGGAACTTCGCAAACCGAGCTTTTTAGGATGATGCACTAGCTTTATTTGTGTTTTCAAGGGTAGCTCTTGTCTATCAGATGTATGTTGAAACTGCTTTCCATCTACAGATCACTGCATTTATATTTTTCAAGCTTGTCTCTTTTGTTAATGGATTTGTAATGGATTTGATAATGATTCTGATATCTTTTGTGTATCTAATTTTAATTTGTAACAATTTTCTAATACTAATGGTACTGTCTAAGATATATTTAAGTTTATATCCTTTAAAATGAATTAAAAACAATTAACAGTGTCAACTCATATAGAGACACTTTTTCTTTTGTGGTAAATGAAAATTAATTAGTGGAAGGAATAGTTCTCTTTCTCATTCTCTTTTTTGGTCAGTAGAGCGATTTTACAGCAAAGCAACGCTGATTTAATTCAATGCAAATCTGCGGAATATTTGGGAAAGGTGAATTGTAAGAAATTAGTCAAACATTTAGAATCAAATAATTACATCCCCAATCGTAATGATCCTTGACACAATATAAGGTACAGGCACAATTGGGTTTACCTGAACAAAAATTGTAGATAACTGGAGTTGATGCCTACTTACATACCTATTGTATATTGGTCAAATAATCGACTAGTTCATTTTTTATAAAAAATCAGAGTAGGGCATTAAGAAAATGTACGATTATCGCATATCGCAATCCATAAATAATTAAAGGTTTGACGGAAAATCGTAATCTACCTACTTTTGCGTATATGTGTTACCTACCTATAAACTTGCAATTTGTTATTATTCAGATAGCGAAATATGAAGCGTAAATCTAGTTTTCATTATTAAGCTTAAATATAATTATATGCGAGATTATATGTATACAAAAACTCCCCTTTTTCGATGATCACCCTTCTATTTGTCACACGTATAGTTGCTGTAATATGAACGATCTTAACTTCTACAATTGCTGAATTCGGTTATTTTTAGTAAGTATAAATAACTTTCCTTTTTTTATATTGCATTTCGGTCCGATTAAAAATAAGTAAATAAAACATGTATAAAAAGTGCAGATAAAGTGCATTCTTTAAAAACCGAATTAGCTAGTAAACAGTACTTGCAGATGTGTTGCACACTGACTCCCTCGTACTGCGCAAACGCAAGCGCGCTAAAATTTGAATTTGCGTACAACTGTGAAGTGTAAGGGTAAATAATATACACATAACCTGCAAACGTTATAATGGAAGATAATTTAGCTTACCTGCTTACCTATTGTAAATAGGTGTAGTAGGTATATGATAATGCCATGTTATCAAGATGAATTTTGTTGTTATCTACATTTCAAGTACATGGCTATGAATTCCTCGATGAATTCCTAGACTAGAATATGCCAAAGGCGATAGAAAGAAACTATTTCGGTAAGTACTGTAACAGTTAATTAGAAATAGTTAATGAAATCTACTTACAGCAATAACGTTACAGACCAATATTGACCTATGGTAGAGAGAGAGTTGGGTGCTGAACGAATCACAAAATCCAAACTACAAGCTACAGAAATGAAGTACTTTCGAAGGGTAAGGGGAGTTGGTGGAATTCCTACTAAGAAGATAAAAAAAGAAGTGGATGCTCTGATAGAGACCTTTGATAGACAAAAATTAAAACGCTTATTTAGACGCCTTGGACGAATGGAAAACAGTCGGCTTGCGAAACACATATGGAACACCGGAATTCAAAATAGGAAGAAAAGGGAAAGCATAACGACAACATAGGATATGTAGGTACCTAAGTAGCAAGAATACTTCAAGATCAGGGCATAGAATGGGAGGACGCTAAAGGTGCCTTTAGACTAGAAAGAAAACACACGCAATTTTCTGTCGGACACTACTGTCTTAAGTGTAAATAGCATTGCGAGTCCATTTGACAGAACTCGCGGAAGAATTCTTTCGACACTTTTCTTGCCAGTCTAAACAGGCAAAAGTGCAGCTCACCAAGTTCTTGCCAACTTTCCATTTCGTTTCGATATTTTGGCGAGCAAACGTGCGAGTTTTATTATATTGTGGCACGTAAATGAGTTAAGAAGTTAACGCGAGATAGGAAAAAAATGGAGCACAATAGTTTATAGCTTGGTTTACGCTGGTATCGGGTAGAATATGTTAATTTATTTTCCATACACCATGATGGTAGAAGGGTTTTGCTTATAATAAATAATAACGTTACAATTCTTGTTGTTTATTCCATATTAGTAAAGGATCATGACGGTTGCTTTCAAGTTGGGGCTATAATGTAACTGGAATTCACAGTGATGCCCGAAGGCTTTATTAATTCGAGCGCGTTAAAGCAAATTCAAATTTAAGCGCGCTTGCGTTTGCGCAGTCCCGAGGGAGTCAGTGTGCAACACATCTGCTAGTGTAAACAGTTGGGTTATAAAGTAGTAGCATATTATGCTATATTTATCGATGTTTACCTTATTGGTCGATTATGGAGGCGAGGATCTTTACACATAAACATTTAAAGACCGCCTGACATAAATTCAAAATATACGCTATATAATGCAAGAAGAATTCCCCGAATATTGCATTTTCTCTTTATTTCCTCCAACATTTTCGAGATATTCACAATTAAGTTTCCGCGTTGCCAGTAGATGTGTCTCGTTTAGACTTCTAACCCGACAAACCATTTTCGAAATATTCGGACCTTTGAGGCCTTGAAGGGTAGAACGTGTGTTTCCTCCCCCCCCCCCCCCATTGAAATGGGTGTCTGGCACATCTTCAAGGTATAGGATAGGCTATCTATTGCAAAATCCAGGACTCCAAAACCGTTCCCCTAAGAGTAGTTCAAAACCGCAGAAGTGAGTCCAGTCGAACAGACCGGACCGACAGACGGACGGACGGACAACAATTGCACATTTTTTAATTTTTAAAAAATGCGTTAAAAAATAATCCCCCAAAAAAAATTAAATCTGTCTTCGGAAAAAATGTCAACCAAAAGTTATTTCTTTGCCGTAAAACTGCATTTTTACACAAAAATATACCAAATTGGTACAATACCTTAGAATTAATTCCTTCAGTATAAGCTTTTTCAATGGATAACCTCCATCTTTCATCTCACTTCCTGGTATCAGCGGAACTCTGTCGAAAAATCGGGAGAAGTGCAGGGCAGTGACGTAAGTCCGTTAAAATTGAATAATGACAGTTGTTTTTCGATGTATCTGCACGACTTAAGTGCAAATACGCGCAATAACCTAACTTCGGACACCAATTAGAAAAAAAATTTAAAAAAGTGTCGGAGGATGTCTCGTTATGTGCAACTGAGCAACTCAGAGATACTTGACTAAATTGGTCAATTGAGAAAACCATAGCCATAGATCATTAATAATTTATTTAAAAAATAATGAAGAACTAGAACATACAAAAGTTACAAAAAAGTTGTTCCCATTTATTGCACTATTGAGCATTGTAAAGAAAAGCAAGTATAAAAAATTAAATATATCAAAAAATGTTCCGCCTTTCCGCAGTTTTGCTGGCAAATTCTTTCAATATATCCTCTACTACTACACTTTTTGTAATTTCTGCATGCACATGTAGTAGAAGATGTGTTAGTCGCTTTTGCGTGATTTATCTACTCATTCTTGAGAGGGGCGCGGCCCCCCTTGTGGAAAACTGAGGGGGCGAGTCGCCCCATCTGACCCATACTTCCGACGTCGCTGGCCTGGTACTTGTAGTGGTAAATTTATTTGAGACAGAAAGATTTTAATTAATCTTTTAGGTCGCTTTTATGCGACAAAAAACGCGGCGTCTCTACACCAATTGTTTCGTATGTGCCGCGACAGGCGACAAAAAATGCGTGCATTAAG